TAACAAAAGGTACTCTGCAATCCCAGACTATAGTCCAGTCTGCCAGACAATGCCTGGCTTGCAGTAGAGTAATCCTGAAGGTCTGACTAGTTAAGCAAATGGACTTTGAGTTATGGTTAGAGTCGGGTAGCCCAGAGTGGGAAAGTCCCATCTAAGGAGACTTATCTGCACAAGTGACTGACACAGGTCCTGTCTCTGCTCGCCTTTTTCTAAGCTTTATTGCTGGGTGGGTGATAGCTGCCCTACAAGGTAACTGTGCAGACTCTTTCTACAGCAACCAGCAGCTTGCCGGAGATGGACCAGCATTGAGCAAATCAAATTTTAATTATAATAATAAGTAAAAGTGAATGAGAAGAAGGTTGAACTGAATGGCGCTTCTGTTGATGTGTCCTTCTCCTCTTCCAGACTGTCAACTCCTCAAAGGAGCTCCCTGGTGGGACACAGTAGGCATTCATTAGTGAATTCAGTCACTCATTCAACAAGCATTTATTATGTTAATGAAAGAAAGAAAGAAATTTGGGTTAGGATAGAGACTCATGCATAAATAAATAAAAGACTCATGCATTTGGCACTCTTAGGAATCCTACCCACTGGCAGTTGGGTAGAGCCTTAGAGACATTCTTTAGAGAGTCTCACTTACCGGTGAGGAAGTGAGCTAGGAAAGATTATCTTGTTTTTAACAGTTAATGAAAAAAATTTCTGATCCAATGTGGTAGTGCACCCCAGCACTTCAGGAATCAAAGGAAAGAGGACAGTAAGTCTCAGGCCAACCTGTGCTATGCAGTGGACTCTGTCTCAAGGACAACAGTGTCTGTAGACAGAGTTATTATTCAGACTTATCTGAATTTAAAATTTTTGGATAATTTATTTTACGTGTATTAGTGTTTTGCCTGAATGTATATCTACGTGTACTGTGTGCTGCGTGCTCAGGAAGGTCAGAAGAGGGCATCAGATCTCCTGGAACTGGACTAATGATTGTGAGCCATCATGTGGAGGCTGGGAATCCAGCCTGGGTCTCTCCAGCCCCTATTTTAAATTTTTTTTTTGATTTTCATTTTGTTCTTTGAGATAGTGTCTCACATATCCCAGGCTGGTCTCGAACTGGAACTGGTATTTACTGCTCGGTTGATACATGCCGGGGATTGAACCCAGGGCTTTGTGCAAACATTCTACCAATCCAGCAACATCCCCAGCCCTGCTTTGTTAGTTTGTTGTTTGTTTTGAGCAAAGGTCTTTTGTAGCACGGGCTAGCCTTGGACAGCATATGTAGCCATAACTTACTATTTATTCCTTAGTTAGACTGGTACTCACAAAGCCACAACCCTGGGTCTGTAAAACGTGGCCCTGGGAATGATGTAACGGGCGGTGACACAACCAGGGAGCACCTGGATTTTCACAGGATGGGAAGTTGGAAGTTGACTGAGACAAATTCAGGGGGAAAGATCCTGGAGACACCAGGGAATACCATCAATTCCCGATTATGTAATTCCTTACGCACCTTGCATCTAAGATGCGTTGGCATTTCTGAAGCTCTGCCCCTTCCCGAGGCAGACAGAAGGCAGAGAGGTGGCCATCAACAGGCGTTATCGCAACATTAGCAAAGGACAAATGAAAGCATGCCGCTGATGCACCCATGTAAATAAATCTCTTCAAAAAACCGATGTCCTCAATAGATAGATCCCGGAGGGCTGAGTCATTCCCAGGAGGTCTGAAGGCTACTTCCAGAGCAGCCCAGAAGTAGGTCACCCTGGGAACACTAGGTCACCCTGGGAACAGATAGAAAAGAAATGAACGCACACAAGAAAAATGAGTGAAGGAAGACTCCAGACCGGCCAGACACCACACTACAGACCCTTTTCCCGCACGGCAATGTGGGAAAGCACTATGGTGGAGAAGGTCCCAGGTTAGCATGGAGGTCAGCAGGCAGCCCCCAGCCTCAGATAACAAGGCACTCTCCGGGAACGTGTGTCAGGAAAAGTGCGTGGTCATAGTGTCAACTTGTAGGCTAAGGAACAACATAAAGTGGTCTTATCTGTTACCTCCTCCACTCCCGCTGGAATTCAGCCCCAATCTGATGGAAACACTTTGCCTGCTTTCAGGAGAACTCTCCACTATCAGGCAGACTGTGTTTCATACTTAGGTTATCACCAAAGGCTTTCAGAACAGCCCGGGACGCTATCTCGCAGCACCCGTACGGTGTGTGTGCCTCATGAGTAGGTGGTAGGTGACCAAAACCATGCGGCATGCTCCATGTGTTCCTGGAGGCTTTCAGTCTCGTTTGATTTCAGCTGGGCCCGAGGATCTGTTCTGTGCTACATGTGGTTCGCCATCTTCGGCTCCCTGGGCCACCTTAGACAGGAGCAGGAGTCACGGACAAATCAAGCCTGTGGGACTCCGCTGTCTACGCTGGAAGCCCTCATTTTGCAGAAGAGTACGAACATGACATCCAGAGCCACTGTGTGGAAAGGACTGAGACACCAACAGATGACTCAATAGCTTCTGGGCCAGATGCCTTTGGATGGGGTTAGTCCTAAACTTCCTCACCTGTAAAATGGGCCCAATAACAGTACCTCCTGCTACAGGGTTACAGTGAGACTTGAGAGGAGCCGACCCACCGAGGGGATTCAGTCAACAATCGTTATTAGGACTACGACACAGATCACAAATACAATCAATATTCTGGATAGGTGTGTGTGTGTGTATGTGTGTGTGTGTGTGTGTGTGTGCTTATGAGTACACAGTGTGACAAGGAGGGACAACAGGAACCACTATTTACTGAGCACTTTCTACGTGTCACGTCCTTTACACACGTGGCCTTCTGCTTTACACGAGCGACTGTATGTATTACAGACAGCTGTCCTGTGATGTGGCTGACGCCCAGATCCCCCTTTTCAGAGAGCGACAGGGACACTCAACCCGCCTGGGTGACTTGCTTGGAGATGCAGATTCCAAGGCTGACGTTTCCAAACGCTAGGACATAGGGCCCCTCTGAGAGAACAGCTTTTAAAAAGAAATAGAGTCTAAAAACTTGATACTTGCACGCGTATATTGTCTTGTAAAGAAATTGCTTCGAAGCCCGCCAAGTCGTCCTGGCAAAGCCTCCGCCGTCCCCACTCTTTAGACCCACAGCGTGCGCAAACCTACAAAAAACTAGTCTAATTTTTCCATCTTCATCCTTTCCTCCAAAGTGGAGTTCCTCAACCTGATTGTACATCTTAGTTCCCAGGCTTTGATCTGAATGAATTTTGGCTGCTGTTAAAAATCAAATCCACCTTCAAAGGGTAGATGTGTGCTCTCATCAAGACACGCCGAAGAATTCACTGCAGTGTCTAGAAGGAGAGCAACCAGGGGCTTTTTAACAGCATCTCGGGCCTAAGTGATTCGTCTTCCGAGGAGACTGCTTTGAAGGGAGGCTCATGTGGGATGCACGCCGTCTGGTATGTTTATTTAAAACATACCTTCGGTGTCCTCATAGATTCCCGAGGAACTTCCCTGGTGCCTCCGACACTCCATTCTGCTGAGGCAAGGGGATTGATGAGGTCACCGTGTCCTTTGGAAGTGTGTCTGGCCTGCACTTTTGAACTTTTATTCGGTACTATAAACATAAATGAGAGGGCCAGAGATGTAGCTCAGTGGTAGAATGTTGGCCTAGCCGTGAGCAAGACTCTAGGTTCAATCCCCAATGCCACAAAAATAAATTAATCAATTAATGAAACAACCACGAGCAAGAGCAAGAAGCTCCCCTGAGGGAAGGGGTTCACCTGAACAGAGATGCCTTCCATGCATACACGCTGTCCCAGCTCTGTTCCCTGATGCTGAACCCAAGCCGGAAATGAAAGTTCTTCGGGGCTCTGAGAGAAGAGCATTAAGCATTAGCTGCAGCATTTCTCATAAGAACTCATCCATCTCTCCTTCATGCACCCACTCTGAGCTTGATAAAATGCCTCTCACTTGCCAGAATCCTAGCCCAGACAATGCTGGACAACTTCTTACAAAAGTTGTCAACTTTTCCATGTATTTCTAATGGGGCCAGACAGCCATCTATCTACCATCTATTTTTGAGACAATGGCTTCATGTCGCCCGGGCTGACCTAGAACTGCAGCCAACACTGGCCTTGATCTCCTGTTCCTCCTGCCTCTATCTCCTGAGTGCTGGGATTTCAAGCGTGTGCTACCACGCCTGATTGAGATTTATAAAGTTCTAGGTATCAAACCCAGGATTTCCTGCGTGCTAGGCGAGCATTCTGCCCACAGAGATACATCTCCAGCCCCATGTTCACATGTTTAATGTCAGACACACATAACCATTATTTCAAAATCTCAGCTCTTAACCCACAATGAGTTAGGCGGAGTGTTGGCTGCCTAGCCTATTGACATTTTCACTGGGTGTAGGCCCTCTACAAGGGCCTCCTTGATCTTTTACCCAGAGCATGCTCCTGCTTTCTACGTTTACTTCACTTCCTGTCACTTTTGTGTCCTTGGCTCTTGTCACTTGGTTCTGTGTCTTATTGATTAAATATTTAGATTCCCCTTAGTGTGAAAGGTAATGGGGCCCCAAAGATGCCCACATCCTCACCCTAGACATCTGTGCCTATGTTACATTATTTGACCAGGAGCAATTAGTTGAGATTACAGACAGAGGGGGCTGGAGAGATGGCTCAGCAGTTAAGAGCACTGGCTGCTCTTCCAGAGGACCCAGGTTCAATTCCCAGCACCCACACGGCAGCTCACAACTGTCTGTAACTCCAGCTCCAGGGGATCCGACACCCTCACACAGGCATACGTGCAAGCAAAAACATCTGTGTACAAAAATAAAAACCGCCCCATTTGTAAGAAGGTTACAGACAGAATTATGATTGTGAATCAGCTGACATGAAAAGGAGGGAGAGTCTCAGGCTACCCACGTGGGCCTGTTATCACTGTCCTTTGAACTGTTCACGGGGAGCGGACGAGGCAGGCATCAGGGAAAATGGGCCCTGCTGTTGCCGGCTGTGAGGATGGAGGAGGGTGGCCAAGAGTCATGGGATGTGGGGTACATTAGATACCAGAGAAGGTAAGGAAACGGGTTCCCTTCCAACCCTCAGAACACAGGGAAGAGTCCTCGATTTTAGCTCAGAGAGGCCTGCTCTCATACTTCAGAATGGTAATATGGTAAATATATATATATATATGTATATATATATGTATATATATATGTATATATATATATGTATATATATATATATTGTTTTGATCCATTAAATTTATGGTAAATTGCTATAGCAGCAAGCAGAAATTAGTAATGGTTCTAAACAACCAGAAAAGGATATCCACCAGCATTGTTAAAGTATTTTCTTTTCACTTATGAGTCAGAATGAGTATAAGTCACCTGTGTGGAGGTGGCCCAAAGGCCAGAAATTGGTTATTGGGTCCCCTTGAGTTGTAGTTACAGGTGGTTGTGAGCTGCTTGACATGGGTGCTGGGAACTGAACCTGGATCTTCTAGAAAAGCCGTGTACACTCTGAACCACTGGGCCATCTCTCCTGCCCCTCACTGACAGTTTTTATGCCTATCACTTGTTGGAGAAATGATCAAATGTCAAGAAAAACTTAAATCGGCACTTTAAAGTAACAGCTTAAACTGGATTCTAAACCAGACTCTGACCCAGCAGGCTGAGGCCACAGGCTGACTGGAAAGAGATGTCTGGTAAGGAATGCTGGACCCGACAGAGGGGGACCTCAGCCCGCAGAGCCGTGCCATCTGAGGCTGGAGCTGGCATAGTTTCCTCCTAGCTGCCCCAAAGCAAGAAAAAGGGTTGCCCCTCCTTGTCCAGGTTGGGGAGGGCATAACCTCCGATGAGGCCAGTCCTGGTGGCTGAGAGCAACGCTCAGGGGTAGCACAGCTGTGAGCGATCACACATGCTATCTACCCAGCTGCAGGGGGACGGATGGGTCAGCCGTGAGCAGGGGAGATGCATGGGAACTCAAGCATTTGCTGCAAGCCACTGATATTTCTAGGATATGTCCTGGCACGTGATGCTCTGAAGGTAACAGCGGTCGTCTGCTCCATGACTGCTGCGGAGTGCACACACGACGCTAAGGACTTTACTACACACACACACACACACACACACACGCACACACACACACACACACACACACACACACGACGCTAAGTCCCAGGAGAGCAACGGCTGCTGGTTCCATTTCACAGATGAGCTCACTAGGGCTCTCACGAAGCTCCGCTCTGACGGGTGGAGCAGTTCGTCCTGGGCCACCCAGCTAGCGAAGAGGCAGGGGCAGGTTTCAACATCAAAGCCGGCCCGTTGGTTGACTCTGCAGTTCACTACAGAGCAAGCACACGGGCCAGCTTCAAACATCAGTTGGACGCGGCAAGATTTGCAGCCCCGAAAGAGAGATAAGATTATAGTTGGTAAACTCGACTTCCTAAATAGGAAAAGGGGCCCCGAGACGAGTTGATAAGATGTTACACGAGGGTTGAAGTGAAAGAGAACTTTCTGGTGGCCCCGGGGTGGGGGTGGGGAGGTGTTCGAGAAGATCAGGGCTTGCACTGCGTACGGTAAATCAAAGTTAATTACATTTTTACTCCATATTGCACATGGAGAAGTGAGTCATAATTTTTCCTTATGCCTCAGTATTCTCTTTCCAAATAGGAGCTCCTAAGGGGGAAAGTGTCAAGTGTTCTAACTTTCCTTGGATGGCTCCTAGCTCTGTGTCAACCCGGGACAGCACATAATAAATATCGTTTGATGACTTTTCTCTTGCAGTCATGTCCTCAGACCCCAACTAACTGCCTACAGAGCAATATCTTTTACCATAGCCTTCTCCCTGCGGGCTGACTCCAAAAAAAAAAGGCAGTGCTCTGGGAAATGCTGTAAAAGTTCTCCTCTTTAATAAGGATCCCGGTGTCCTGTGATGGATGCTATAAAACCTTGGACCGGCTGGTGTGTTCATAGCCGAGCGGGCCCATTAACAGCGTCTGGTTCTGGGGGAACATACTTCATATCCAAAGTGCAAAAGCAAAAGCATTTATTATAAAGAACACTGGGTGACCTGGAGTAAACACAGCTGTGCCCTCGTGGTGTCTTGTTGGTGGTGCTCCCTCAGTAGATTAAAGAAATCCATGTTTTATGGGGCCATCACTTATTCTGTGTATACACAGGAGGCTGGTCCGCCAGCAACCCGCAGCCTGCTGTGTGCAAGGTTTCAAGCCCAGGGACAGAAGGAGGCAATGGTGCTCTGCTAGAACGCTTATTCTAGCACGTTCTAATATTCTCAAAAGGGGACGAGGGGTGGTTTCTATTTGCCCCTAACAGACATAAGCATCAAGTCAGCTGTGGCCAACGTGGAGCCGCCCTTTGGTCAACCCTCCAGGTGTTTCTGGTCACCTCCTCTGCTGACCACATGATCCAGAGACTAGCTGGGGAGGTCTGGCACTGATTGGCCGAGCAGCTTGGGGCTCTCCCTTGAACCCCTTGAATATATTAATTGTCTTCAGCCTTACCTGAGAGACACTGAGCTGTGCTTACTGGGATCTGGGCTCAGTTCCATGGCTGGTCCTCCAACAAGGGCTAGCGTGAGAAAGGAACAGTAACACAGACCAAGACCCAACAAGAAGTAGCGTGTCATTCTGCCGCTCAAGAGGCTGAGGCCAGAGGACTGTGAGTTCCAGAGCAGCCCGAGCTGCGCTCAGATGCATATCAGACCCTATCTCAAAAGAAGAAAAAGAGAAAAGGACCCTCTAAAGCTGCTGGGAAAAGAGTTTGAATGTTGCTGTTTTACCTGATTTTATCTCAGTATTAATAAGCATAAGCTTTTTTAAATACATCAATCTAAAATCATGCAAAGGCTATGTGTTCTTATTTAGATGTACAGATACTTAAATAGTCCCCTGGTCTGCAGATTCAGTATCAGTGCATTCAACTAATCTGAGATTGAAAATATTTTTTTTAAATAGCATCTGAGGAGTGGGACGTAGTTAGCTTGGTGGTAGAGTCCTTATCCAGTATACACATAGCTCTAGGTTCAGTTCCAATACCACACACACACACACACACACACACACACACACACACCACACACACACATATACACACACACCACACTATACACA